TTGTTATTTTTATCACCATATGTCTGTAATGAGCTCCTGTTTCTATTCAATGATTTTTTGAAACGAAAATCTCCAATATTTGTACTAATTAACACCAAATGAACGTTTGTAAAAATTAAATGTTTGTTTTACTAACATCCCCATTGTTTTATCACCATATTCCCTTAAATTAATTCTTGCTAAAATTAAAGCATCCTTTGAGACTAATATCCCTATTTATTCTTTTTTTCACCATATGTCTATAAATGATCTCTTGTTAGTATTTAAGGATTCTTTGAAACGAAGATCCCTATCTCTGTTCATTTTATTATCATATTTGCTTAAATGGGCTCTTGTTACTATTCAAGGATTCTTTGAGACTAACATCCCCATCTTTCTTACTTTTATCGTCATATATTCTTAAATATGCTCTTGTTAATATTAAAGAATTTTTTGAGAGTAACTTTCTCTATTTTTCGTCTTTTTATCATCATATTTGCTTAAATGAAGTCTTGTTAGAATTAAATGATTCTTTTTGACTAACATCATCATATTTCTTTAAATTAATTCTTGTTACAATTAAAGCATCTTTTGAGACTAATATCCCCATCTTTGTTCTATTTATCTTCATATTTGCTTAAACGAACTCGTGTTAGAATTAAATGATTCCTTTTTACTAGCATCACCATTGTTTTATCATCATATTTCTTTAAATAAATTCTTGTTACACTTAAAGCATCCTTTGAAACTAATATTCCTATCTTTCTTTTTTTTATCACCATATTTCCTAAATGGGCTCTTGTTTCTAATAAAGGATTATTTGAAACGAATATACAGATTTTCGCTCATTTTATCACCATATTTCCTAAATGGGCTCTTGTTACTATTAAAATATTCTTTGAGACTAACATCCTTATCTTTCTTCTTTTTATCGCCATATTTGATTAAATATGCTTTTGTTACTATTAAAGGGTTCTTTGAGACTAACATCGCCCTCTATCTACTTTTTTATTGTCATATTTCCTTAAATACGCTCTTACTATTAAGAGTAACTTATATTCTTTTTTCTTTGCACCTCCATATTTACTTATATGAGCATTTGTTACAATTAAATGATTCTTTGACATTATCAGCCCCATTTTTTTTATCACCATATTTCTTTAAATAAACTCTTGTTACAATTATTACAATTATCTTTATCTCTATTCTTTTTATCAGCCAGATTCCCAAGAAACGTTTTGTTACTTCTCAATCATGATTTGGATGTAGCATCTGCTGCCTTATCATTTGCCTTATCACAAAATTTCCCGTGAAGAGTTTTTTTTTTTTTTGTCCCATTCAGTGATTCTTTCAGACTTTCACTAATTCTTACTTTCCAGTCATAATAGAATTCAAACCATAATAATACGGGCCTAATAATAATAATAATAGCCTAATAATAATTGTTTAATAATAAAAAAAATAATAATAAGCGTCTAATAATAATAATAATAATTGTTATTAAAGACCACAAAGAAAAAAAGTGCCTCCTTATTGATATGGCAGTCCCTGCTGACTGCAATGTATCTTTGAAGATATTAAAAAAGCTGTCAAAATACAAGGACCTTGAAAGGGAACATCAACATTCCCTGTTGTAGTTGGAGTCCTAGGACTGGTTGGAAAAGATTGCAGTAGACTAATTGAAGAGATCCCTGGAAGTCCATGCCTCAAGGAGATACAAAAAATTGTTCTGACAAGTACAGCCCACACTTTACGAAGGGCTTTATCTATGTAATTTTTTTTTTTTTTTTGTCAATGGAAAGTGTCATGATGCCATTTCTAACCTAAGGTCACTGGGCGGGACCCGGAAAGAAATGTGTAAACGCCAGAAATCAAAGAAAATAATAATAATAATAATAATAATAATAATAATGAGGGCTTTATCTATATGTTCTTGTTGGGTGAAAACTTCTTTTCCAGATTGCAGCCACTTTTGCACTGCAAGTCCATCGCTACTTTCTCACTATTACCATACCATGCGTTCAGTTAAGCCCCATTCTTTAGTTCTATCATTTCAACTTTTTTACAACGATAACAGGCCATGTTTCTTCCACGGAGACGAATCACCCTCATTTTCTCCGTATTCGAAATAAGAGGAGAAAATTTCACTCAAACAACTTTTTTTTTTCAAAAACAGCTACTGTGTATAACATACACTCGCTTGTCTGTTTCCTTGAAAACATGTAAACTTCTTAAACTCTTCAAGTCAGGGGGACAATTGTCTTCTGTCCACCTTATCCTCATAATCTTCACTTCCTATCACCCCCTCTCCCACTTTCGTTCATATCACACATCCCAGCCAACTTAGCCATTCTACAGGGTGTCCCTAGAGTCTGAACATATAGAAAGATGCATATTTTCAAGAAATGAAATTTTCAACAAGATTCTATTAAATTGGAATATTAACGAATAATAATATGATTTCCATCATTTGTGATACAAAGGTTGAAACGCCTTGCAAAATTTACGTGAACTCGATGCAATAACTACACATTGCCGTCAAACTTTAGCACATTCACTCTTTATGCGTTCAATCAAGTGTGTTGCATCTGTGATTTTCATTGAGTACACCTTCTCCTTTAGCATATTCTAGAAAAAGAATTCAATTCTTACTTCTTTCAACAAAACCATGTTTAATCTTTGGAGGTAAAAATATAGTTAATGCAATTTCCTATATATCCAGACATTAGGGACACCCTGTAGCATTAAACTTCTACCTTGAGTGGCCCCTGTGCATTACAAATACGCGAACTTCAGTATAAAAAATTCGTCCTCTTTGTTCTGCTAAATGATTCTTTAGGACTAGTATCGTCATCTTATTTACCACAATAATTCTTGAGATAATATTTTGTTACTATTCAATGCTTCTTTACCATTTGCATTTTTATCTGTGTTCATTTTATTGCGACTTAAACAAATCATCCGTGCTCTTTTTATCACAATAATTCCTTATCTATGGATTGGATACTCTAGCCTTGGTTGGCAACCAGTGTAGGCGAAGGACAACGCTCAATTCAAACCTAAGCTATCTGAAGCTATACAATGATGGCTAGACATGGGGTGCAGAAACGATGTCTGTAAAAGAAAGCACGATATATTTCAACATCTACGGATAACCTCTTTATTATCCAGAATGCTGTTGACACCAACGGACAAAGAATGTACCTTTGCCATTGTCATTCTTGTGATAATATATTCTCATTTCATGAGATGTATTTTGTACATTTCATGGGACATGGTCTTGTTACTGCTGAATGAATCTTTAAAACGAGAATCGTTATATTTGTTGTTTTTTTACCTCAAATATTTTCTAAGACAAGGTTTTGCTACTTGATTCGTCGTGTTTTCACCAAAAAACGCTGATACGTCCTTCTCGATATACACGCAAGTTTCCCTGTTCCCTACCGTCGTTTTCTTATTAGTATTCAGCATTTCTTGAGTATAGAGTTAAAAGTTACAGCAATGTGGCTCCAACAAGAAAAAAAAAAGATGTTAAAATTGAATAAATACCTAGAAAGTGGGTAAGAGAGAAAGCAAAGAATGTAAAAAAAAAGGAATGTAAACAATCTGTTGACTTCTCTTCAAAATTCGCAGAAAAGCTTTACGTAATGCAACGCACATCTAAAGAAGGTTGGAGAGTAGCGTGGCAGAAAACAAATAATATTAATAATAATAGCTTAAAATAATAACGGATTACTAATATCAACAATAATAATACGGGTTTAATAATAATAATAGCCTAATAATAACCGTTTAATAATAACAAAAACGATAATAATACGGCCCTAATGATATTAAAAGCCTAATAATAATTGTTTAATAATAAAAACGAATAATAATAAGGGCCTAATAATAATAATAGCTTAATAATAATAATAATAATGATGGCTAAATAATAAGAAGAATAAGAAGAATAAGAAGAAGAATAGACAAATGATTATTGTCAGGCGCTTATTATCAATAGATTAATAATGTTAACGGTTTAATAAAAACAACAAGGGCTTAATAATAATAATAATAATAATGTAGTTGGAGCTCTCGGATTGATTGGAAAAGGTTCCGATAGACTCATTGAAGGGATTCTTGGTAGCTCATGCCTTAAATAAATGCAAAAATTATTCTCAAAAGTACAGACCACATCTTACAAGGGCTTCTTTTTCTATGTAAAATATGTGTGATATTTTTTTCAAAAAAGATCAGTGGAAAATGTCATGATGCCATTTTCTGAACTTAGGTCTCTGGTCAGGACTCGGAAATAAATAAGTACACACCAGAAATCAAAGAAAAGAAAATAATAATAAAAATAATAATAGCGTAATAATTGCAGAAATGATAGTATCCTACCTGTGATATCATGGTGAGGATTTATTAAGCCAACAAAAGCAAAACTGTAAAAGTTCGGATAATGGTTTTAGTATATAGGAATCCGTTGAAAATCAGAAGGATATTATCAGGGGTCTGGCAGAATAGTGCTGTAATGGTAATAAATGCCGCTCCTAGCATGTCTGCCTGCTCAGAAACATTTGTTCTTGATCAACACTCACCGATTATGCTGAAGGGGACTTAGTTACAGTTTCTCTGAGAGAGAGAGAGAGAGTATCATCTGGCGTGGTTAACAGTTTAAACAAGGCCAGTTCGCTCAAATCCTCGGTCACGATGACTTTTCTGTCTACCTAATTTCATTCGCAAGGCTTGGATCAACCCATAGTATGGTTTTCAGGCACTTTACATTGCGAACGACCAAACCACTAAACCACGAGCCCATAGTCTATTATATTTGTATAATAGAAATGCTTTACTATTAATGGTCATAAAATGAGTCTAATGTTCTGAACCACATTAACTTATTCATATGATGTGAATGCATTGGTAATTATTTTTCTATAAGTATGCACTGAAAATAATGATTGACTAATTTGTATTTTATGGCTTATCAACACTTATTTAAAACCGAAACATACGTTAGATTGTAGGAGGTTGTTTACAGTATCTGGTGTTCCCAAACGGTGCCTCATCTAAATACTGACCGGGCACGACGCCGCTTAACTTCTGTGATTAAACAAGAACCGATGGTTTCAGTGTGATTTGAGTG